GTATCGGGTTGGATAACGTCTTGCTACAATTCGGAGCAACTGTACGTGCCGAAGCGATTAACTTATTAATGCCTGTAGTTAGCGTTTCAATGGGACAGGCGAAACTCGCTTTATGGGACAGACGACGGCCGATTAATTGTTCGTCGAACTTTAATGAACGTAATCATCGTGTTAATAAGATATCTGCTGCAAACGCTTCGTCTCCGAAACAGAGTGTATTAAGCTTTCCCCAGGCAATTGAAACTTCTCGAATCGATCGAGTTATATTTGCTGTCTCGTATAATTAGTAGCCACCATTTATCTCGTTCGAGCTATGTACGTAAATATTTAATCCTGATCCATGCCTCATTTTCTCAACTTCATTCCTCCTCTATGTCTGTTTACGGTGCTTTATTCCGAAAACCGTGCGACTGCTTCCCCGGCGCGGTAAAAATCAAATTTATGAGAAAATTTCCCGGATGACATGCTATGTCTGTGTTTCAAAGACAATAACTTCGCCCGGAGGTCGCTTGATCGATCACACGCAGAAGAAACTTCGCGAGCGTGCTCTACAGCTGACACAAAGTCAGTGAAATACGACCAGTCGTTGTACTTCAACCCAATTTCCCGGCAACTCCTTGATCTCAATTAACTACGGCCCTAGTCATCTACCTCAATTTACCATTTCCAACGTATTAGACAAGATCCCAGTCCCTCTGCCTCTCGCTAAACTACAATTCATCTGACTGAACATACTATAATTTCTACAAATTTCCTATTAGATAGAACCGTACGCTTTCGCCTTTATACACTGGATACGCGTCCGTAATTCTATGGATTCTTCGCCACAAAGGTTCCTCGGATCAGCCGCTGCCATTATTTCGATTGATACTCAACTACGTCTCTCCCGGGACCATTTTCAAGATTTCCGATCAGACCGCGTCTGTGTGTACGCCGAAACACCTGTGCCACACGCACACGTCGACATACGCGTGTTCCATTTGTAGCCATCCCACCCACGTTAACCCTCGGAATCCGGGAGGGCAACACCCAGACTGTGGCTCCTTGTCGCTAGGCAGCGACGCGGCAGCCGTGTCTTCGTGTGTACGTATCAAGCGGCCCGTCGCCCAATAAATCCACGGTTTAATTAAACTTAGTTTAAACGGATCCCTACTCCTGTACAAAGCAGTTATATGTATTACGTTCCTGATCCGTTGCTAAATCAATTATCGGAGTTACGAGGACTACAGCGGAAAGGATTTGATCCTATACATAACCGCGCCCGGATCTCAAATTATTGGTGTCACACATTTTTCTCTGTTTACAATGCGCGATCGAGTCGCACGCTATCGCTCTCACGCGTATTTTCCGTTCCCTGTCGGTGCGTCGCGTACCGTCAACGTGACGACGAATTTAACGCTGTGCCGTGAACGAGCACGTTGTTTCGTCGAACAACGTTGAAACGTTTACGATCGACACCATTGTTCTTGTTGCGTTCGTCGACGCGACAGCCAGAAAAGATTACGACTCGGCGACGATGGAATACGTGTTCGACGGACAACAACATGATTGGACGACGACAACAACAACGACGATTGATTACGCGGGCTGGCGAGCAAGGAGCAAACCCCGTCGGTTAGAATAATTAAATGGTCACCGTCGGCGACCGGTCGCATCACGCATTCCTTCTGCGGCCTGACATCGTGCCTGTGTACCTCGTACGATTAAGCCTAAGCCATGCCAACTATTTTCCGGCGGTACACGCGATGGGTAGGGCTCCATTAAACGAATCGCTTCCACGCCTGAATTTAGTGCCGTTGCATACCGGTTACACTCGCAAACGAGATGAAACCAGCGTCTGTTTTTCTCAGCGCAGGAGAGAACAGTGATCCGGCAGCGAGGAGCAACAGTTTTCCAGCTGAATTTTAAGAAGCCCATGCATCACCGTATCAAACCTACTGCATTATTCAGGCTAATGCATCCACCCTAATAACAGATGAATGGATTCGACCCGACTACGTTTGCGGTGTTGCGGAATGCTTCTTAGATAAGATACGGAAGTGCAGCAGAAGGAAACGACGAACAAAGTGGATTAGGCAAATTGTTCGATTCCGTCAATAGAATAAGACGACTGTCAATGAGGAATTAATGTGTTCAACCTTTTGTGTAATCATATTGGAAGCCACCGTTAGATCGTAGATTACAGTAAGAGTCAAAGAGCTTAGTTAAAGACAAAGCAACAGACCCATGAAGAGGGTAAAGAAACCTGGAGAATACGAGGGGCGTGTGAGATGGAGCATGAAGAGGGTGTGTACCCCCGATAATCCTATTATACTCTTTAAAACAAATGACTAAATAATTTCTGAAGTCAGTTAAATTTCATAATCCCGGATTACTCGTTTTTCCATTAAAAATGTTAACTTTTTAACGCATGCGTCAACACTCGAATCTCTTTATAGCATAATCTCTCTTTGCTCTTGCGAGACCTGAATAGTGATGCATATATCAGTTCAGTCTTAACGAGCTTTCCGTTAAAAGCAGAAATTTTCGAGAAAACGCGCTCGAAGCGAGAAGCATATTTTTAAATAAGCAATACTGCGAGCTTTGCATAAAATTATTCTTCCCATTCAACAGCGAGAGCAGACTCTCATCGAATACAGTATTTCTGTTTTTATAATGTGACAACGAATACGAAACGACAATTAATACAACGAAATATAGTAAATATTAGTTAATTAAACCAAATGCTTTTACGATTCAGTTTCCGTTACCTGAACGATCTTTAGTTTAGAGCAGTGATTCTCAAGCTTTTTTTAGTCAGGGTATACTTTTAATACTTTCAAAATTTGGCGACATACTAACAATAAGATAAATTAAAAGAATTTTATTCGGTTTATTGGTTGATGTACCTATAATATGTTTTATAAAATTAATGTAGGATAATAATTTTCAATGAAAAATAAAATGAAAATTGC